ACAAAAAAAAAAAAAAAAAAAAAAAAAAGCCTTTTGTTTGCTTAGCAAAGCAGCAAGCTAAGAGGATTTGAGGTGAGGATGTATTTAAAATTCCCCAAATTCCATACTCACCAGAAGTTCTTTATACTTTGGCCTTTTGGATTCATCCTTCGTAAGGCTAAAATAACAAAAATAACAGTGTTCAAAGGGAGACATATTTACCAATTTTTTTAAACAAATAAATACTACATTGAATCAAATACTTTTATTTTCCTGCGGGCCCAAAGTTAACAAAGCACATAATCTGCTAAATACAGAGAAACACACACGAAATTTAGACAATCTAGAATCATTAGTGGAAAATGTAAAAAAAAATTCAAGCCCCTATTGTAAAGAACTGACTGAATCATGACATAGTTACATGACAGAATACTACAGAGTTAAATATACGGATGTATAGGGAAGTGTAAAATTATCTATGTACAGATATTTTAAAATATATATGCATGTGTGTGTCAACAATCTTGGGGGGCATATGTATTATGAATTTTATCAATATATCCTTAAAATTTTTACATATCTTGCATTGTGCATCACGATGCTGTGTTCTTTAGTCCAGAAATTTACCAGACTACTACTTCACTAAAAAGTGTAATCAGAACCTCACCTAACTTGTTCCATGTGCTGTATCCACTCCTAACCTCAACTGAATTAATTTTTTTCTTATCAAAGGTTAATTAACATTGACAACACAGTTCACCAACTCTAAACTCATTTCTGCTTTTCATAACCCACATCTTTTGTACTGAATGCTGCAATGTACCGCATAGATTCTCTCTTTAAGAATGAAGGCTTTAGGGCCGGGGATTTAGCTCAGTGGTTCCACCACCTGCCTCGAAAGCACAAGGTCATCAGTTCAATCCCTGGTACCCATCCCCCAAAATGAAGGCTTTATTCACTTTATTCTTTGCATCCAGCAGCAAACAGCCTTCTGTTGCACACCTCTCTGAAATTACCTCAGCTGAAAAGTCACGTTAGCCTTGCTGGGACAATCTGTCTCTTAATGGCAGATCCATCAAAGGACATAAAAATCCAAGTCCCTCATAAGACAGGTCAACCCTATTTAACTACCCAGCTCCACAGTCTTCCAAGTAGTAGACTGAGGGCTTCATTGTGATTGTACTACAGCTCAACTTCTGTCAAACTCTACTTCCTCCCCTTTACTAGGTTATGGATCCCAAGACCACTTCCTACTTTAACTTCCTATACTCCTACCTCTGTCTTAAAACCTACTTTTCAGGGACCAAACCTGAGATACCTTTCTTCTGAGTTAACTTTTCTTCTTGATCAAATATATTCTTTTAAAACAATCTACAAATGGTAAGTCTTTTCAGTCCTGAAAATATACTTCATTATTTTGAATTTAAGCGAGTATTAAATGTTAAGGCTAGGTTGACAGTTACATTCCCTTAGCGCTCTAGAGCTCTCCAGTTTTTTTCTAGCAATTACTGCTGCTGGTAATAACTTCACTGTTAGTGTAACTATCAGACAACAAACCCATGTTAAGATGAGAATGCAATTTTCAAACTTACTTTGACACTCTCATCTTCTGTGATGTTTTATTTCATGTAGTTCTATGAATTCCTTAATTTTATAATAACATACATTTTAAAAGTTACTTTAAAATGCTGATGCATTGCACAAGATATCAAATCCTTCAAAATAATGTGAAATGGCCACATATTTCCTCTTAGAGCTATTTCTCTGCTCTTCAGGTATTGTTTTATGTGTGTGTGTGTTTTTCTAACACTGAGTGCATTTTTATGTGTATGTTTTAAATTAAAGCTTGTCAAGTCTTTATCTTTTCTCAGCTTATAGCTACATATGATTCAATGTCTTTAGTTCATTTGATCTGATATTTTAAGGATTCGGCTTTGTCTTCAAGCAAAGAATTTTAACTTTAATTCTTTTACTGCTTACCATCACTAAAATAGAACCCCATGAATTTTTCTTCTGTATCTGTTATCATTGCCTTGTGTTCACCTTTTTATTCCTTGCTTCTGGAAGATTAAAGGGTATTAACTCCTTCATAAATTTTTTAAACAGCAATATCCAATCTACTCTGTACCAACATACATCTTCCCCCATTGAAATCAGAAATCACATTTGCCATTCAAAGACAATATTTCCTGAATTCAAATTCCTCCCTTATAATTTTTCCCTGACTACTCTAGTGACAATCTCACAAGAAAATGTGTGTTCAAATCTTTCATTCTGTAGCCAGGCATGGTGGTGCATGCCTATAATCCCAGCACTCGGGGAGGCTGAGGCAGGAGAATCGCTATGGGTTCAAGACCAGCCTGGGATACATAGTGAGTTCCAGGTCAGTGTCAAGCACGTAGTGAGACCCTGCCTCAAAAAAACCAAATCAACAATAACAACAACAAATCTTTGATTCTGATATAATTCCCTGAATCACTGTTTTCATTTGTCCATAATTTTATTTCTTCATTCCTATAAAGGCATCAAAGTTTATCAAATATCATAGCTGATCTCAGGTACTGGTTTAGGTGACTGAGAAATAGGTGGCGAGCATTCACTACAACATCATCACCTGCAGAGGGGATTGTCTTTTAGATTTATTTTAAGAGCTTTGCACTAAGCCCCCTTCCCAACCAACATAAGCATCTTTGTTAGAAGTGGTTTCAGCAAAGGAGAGTTTTTCTTTAAAGGTCTTTTCTACCAGATGTAAAGTAGGATTGAATGCATACTGAGTATCTCTAATTAGAAAATTTGAAATGCTCCAAAATCCAAAACATTCTGAGTGCTGACATTATGTTACAAGTGGAAAATTTTACATCATGAAATGGTTTTATGCATAAATTATTAAGTATACTGTATAAAATTACCTTCAAGCAAAATGTACAAGCCATATATGAAACATAAATAAATTTCATGTTTAGGCTTCAGTCCTAGCCCGCAAAAATCTCATTGTACATATATGTAAATATTTCAATATCTGAAGACATCAAAAATCTGAAACATTTCTGGCCCTAAGCATTGCAGATAAGAGATACTCAATCTTCTTTTTGGTATCGGGGATCGAACTTGGGTCCTTGCACTTGCAAGGCAGGCAGCAGAATCACTGAGCGAAATCCCAGCCCGATACTCAATCTTTATACTGCCACAGAATCCCAGCTGTGTGTAGGATCTAACAAATATTTCCTTAAGATACATTTGGGACTGAGATTTACTTTTTCATTGTCTGTCCCACAAGCTGCATTTTCTTTCAAATTCTGTCTCATGCTAGAGTTGTCTGTAGTCTTAGGTCATGCTTTTGACATTTTTAACCTATGAATGTGACAAATTCTGCAACAGTCAATCCATCCCTGAATTCAATCTACAGTTTCACAACACTTCAAGTAAAAAAATTCTTATTTCTTTCCCAGGAAAAAAACAAAGATTCCCCACCCACTAAAAATCCTAGGGTGTGATTCCAAAAAAGAAGTTAATGTGGACAAGAGTTTTTAAGATGTAAACTAAGATCTTCCTTCAAACCATACCTTCAACATTTTTCCTTAATCAAATTTTTGACTGGGACAAAGATACAATCAAGAACATAACTCCTTAATATAGGACTAAAAACATAAAAAAGGAAAGAACATACTGACTTCCATTACCATGTAATATTCATTCTGTTGTTTTAAATTTTCATATAAATAGAACCATATTGTTTTGTCTTACTTTTATCAGTCAACATCATTTGACATTTTTCCATGCTGTTGAGTGTAAGCAACTTTTCTGGTATTATGTACCAAAGTAATATACAATCTATTTTATTGTTAACAGAGTTCTCTCACTGTACATTATAATTTGACAACTGTGCTTTTCTGAACATTTGGATATAGTGTATTGATGTCCATGCTTTTATTGGGTATTGAACTTGGATTTGGAATGTGAGATCATGGAGTATACTTAATCTATACTCCTATAATTTTAAGTATTCTTTATATAATCTGATCCTTATTAATACTTGGAACTATCAGTTTTCTAAACTGTAGTTATTCTCAAAGACCGAAGTAGGATTTCATTGTAGCTTTCCTTTGTTTTCCCATGATAAGTAATAATGGTGAGTGAGCAATCCTTTAGTATGCCTATGAGTCTGAACATTATCTTTTTAAGTGTCTGTCAAGCATTTTTGGATGTCATTTTCATATTTAGAAGTGTTTTGTAAGCCCAGTATAGTGGCACATTACTATAATCACAGAACTAAAGCAGCTAAGGCAGGAGCATTGTCCCATGTTGGAGGTCAGCCTGGGCTACATAGTAAGTTCAAGGCCAGGTGGACTACATAGAGGACCCTGTCTCAAAACAAACACACACACACACACAAAGTGTTTTATAAGTATATAACTTTTATATAGTCTGTATAAGAGACTGTGGTAATTCTCTATATAGGAAAGATCTCTCACTACATGGCTTAATATTTTACCTGGTGCTCCCTGTTAATCAACAGGTATTCTTAATTGTAATGAAATCCAATTTTACTTTTTCTCTTACACCAAGTTGCTAAATGCTGCTTCAGAAATTTTTATCTATCCAAAAATAATAATATTCTCCCATGTTATCCTCTATAAATGTTTAATTTATACAAGAAATCAAATTTGGTAGAAATACTGAGAAATGAAAATTGAGAAATAAACCAAATCTAGGAGGCTTTATATTATTTATAGTAGGCTTTGAAAACCATGTTAACTTAGATGATTTTTTTTTTTTGGTGCCGGGGATCGAACTCAGGCCCTTACGCTTACAAGGAAGGCAGCAGAACCACTGAGCCAAATCCTTCGTCCCTTAGATGATTTTAAGGACAAGAATGTCTCTAGAACAATGTTTCCCAAACTTGTTTTCATCATTGTCCCTTATTACTGTGAAAATTAAATACCACATATATACCACATATCTATTTATATTCTATAGCTCTTTGAGGGCTATAAACCTACATATGATCTACATAAGATCTACATAAGATTTTCTATTTGTCTAAAAGTCAACTTTCATCTTCTTGGAGGTGATGTCACCTTGTTAAGCATTATCATTTTAAGACTGCTTGCTATACACTCAAATTAACATGATCATATATGCATCACAAAAAAACACAGTTCTAAACTAGGTGTGGTTACAGCTAATTGGGAGGCTGGGGTGGGGGATTCACTTGAGCCCAGGATTTTGAGGCCAACCTTGGCAACTTAACAAGACTTCATCTCAAAAATCAAAACAAAACAAAAACACAGCTTTACTAAAAAGGGAAAAGCATTTGGAACAAGGAAATATTGAATCATGAGGATGAGTCAGAAATCTAAATGGCCCAAGTTAAGAGATGAGAGACAATGTGTAAGATAAGGATAGTGACTGTGATATATAAATGTTGGAAGCTAATAATATAAGCACAACAGAGAAACAGAGATCCTTCAACTGTAGACCTTAATATGAACTGGAATGAGGGGGGGCTATAAACATATCCAGTGATGACAATGGCATATGGAAATTCAAAACAGTTATCTATTCTGGCACCAAGTGAAACAAATGAAAAACATAGTACTACACTTAAGTAAAACAAAGTAAAGAGATCTAGAATTAAAAAGAAACTAGCACCAGTGGTTTCACAGGTGATCATGTTAGATGTTACACTCTATGACTTACTACGATCTTTAAAGCAAATATTTTATAAAATGGGATAAAATGAATGATCATAATTATGCAAACTGTAAATTTCATGCACAAATTAGTAAAAAAAGATTTTTTTAAAAAAGCGGAAAAAAAGAGTCAATTTGAGTCATTCATAGGGTCTTCTACCTAGAAAATCGTGACGTATTCCTTTCCCCTCTGAAATATCAACACAGAAGGAAAATATGGGTACAGAAGATGAAAGGGACTTGAAAACTAGAAGCAAGTAAATGTTTTCTAATTTTTCAAAAAGAAGACAATGTTAGATCTGGAAGTATAAATCTTATAAGATCAAGACAGAGTATAGAAAAAGCATTTCTGGCAGGAAATAATTATGAGAAACAAAATTTGTTTTTTAAGAATGAATAAGATGTGAAATGGTCTGACTTTTTGCTCAAAAACATATTTTAAGATGGTGCTGAATGAAAGGAATAATTATCAAGTGTTCAAACAATAAGGGTTCAAAATAAAACATGAGCTTCTAAGTAAAAAAGTTCTATTTAAAACAGACTGCAGGGCCTGGAGATGGAGCAAGGTGGAAGAGCCCTTGCCTAACATGTATAAGGTCTTGGGTTTTGTTTCTAGCACTACATTGAAAAATAATAAGATCTTAAATAGAGGCAGCAATAGTACAAAGCATGAGAATATTATTATTATCTGCATACAGTTATTCTAAGGCACCACTTACACATTTATACACATAAGAAAGAAGAACTGTTAATAAAAGCACACAAATCAACAGATGTGAATTTCACACATTCTTTGGAATGATGTTTCAAAGAGCTACCAATTAAGCTTTTGGCCTGACCGTAATATTTACACTCAAATATATTCTATGTCCTACAAGAGCAGAGATCCACCCTTGAAAGTCTGACAGGGAAAGTTCTTAACTTAAAAAGTTTCCAGGTGATTCTGGTATAATGTCCCTGTGAGAATCTCATCAGAATTAAGATGATCAGTTTCATCTAGAGGTTTAACCTAATATACCTGTACAAGGTACTGGAAGTCTGGAACGGAAGCTTCTCCACCACCCACAGCTGTTTTTCACCAACACCTGAGTAGTAGAATAAGAGGGTGATGCCTCTCCAGGCTAACTGCAGCCTTCTATATAGTCACAGTTATCCAGTGTGCTAACATGGATGGCAGGAAGAGATAAAAGGTTTCTTTCCCCTTTATAAAGTATCATTGTTGCTAATTAAGTAACCTCCCAGATTCCAGCACAGGTGTTTGAGCATTTGCAAAACAAGTACTCACCACAAATTAACAAAGTTGATGAAACTTGGGGAGAATTCCCGTTCCTCAGAATTACTCAGCTGTGGAGGATCTCCTTTCACGACTTGTGTTAGTTGATCAAACACACTATTCCACTTTGGATAAGGAAATCGGCCTGTGGCCAACTCGTACTAAAGAGAACAACAACAACAAAAAAAGGAAAATACACTAGGTGTTATTTACTACTACTCATTGAAATGGCCATAACAACGTAAACTCCAAGCAATACTCTGTAAAAATCTTATGATGCTGAGGTAGAATCTTCAAAATCATGAAAGCTAAGATAATGTAGAGAACTATGTATCAGCCAAATTCAAGGGCTTGGACTTAAGGCAAAGACCAAATTTAAGCCCAAACTATGCCCCACAATGCATACTCCAGGGCAACCTTTGATTCTGACTCCTTTGTATAGCAAATTCTGGAAGGTTTGGTTTAGAATACGTGTAGTACAGACATTCCCCATAATTTATAGTCCCCTGAATGGAATGCCATGGTCTAGAAGAGTGGTCAAATTCCTGTGTATGGTAAAAGAGTGTTCACAAACAAAAGCCCAATCTGGACTCAAAGAAGACAATGTCAAAATCCTATTCTACAGCTACTCTAGTTAGAGCAACTTAACCACAGCCAGATTTTATTCTATGGAAGAAATCAAGTCAGGGTCAAATCCATCCTCCTAATTAAGGGCTCAAGACAGTATCTATAAATGATACCAAAAAAGATCTGAAGATTTAATAAACATATGCTCCAATGCACCAACAGTCAAAAATATTCTCACTTTTTTCCCCACCTTTGAAAATAATGAAAACCTAGGAACTGTGCTTTTAAGAAATATATCTAGGGCCAGTATTTTTAGCTCAGTGGCACCATCATTTCTCCACCTTTTGGCTAAGATCAAGTGTAGCTCAGTGGCATCACACCTGCCACAAAAGTCCAAGGTCCTGAGTTTGATCCCCAGTACCAGGAAAAAAAAAAAGAAATGGAATATATCTAAATCTACCTCATCGCATAGTGAGTCTTATTTTATAGGTCTGACAAGTGACTGACATACAAGGATGGAATCCCAAACCTAAGACAGAAGATGACATATGGGGGAGGGGTACTATGTCAGAGAACTAATTCAGAGATTCCTTCTCAAGAGAGTATCCTTTAGCTCACTGTTGTCTCCACTTGCACACATACAAGGATGAGGTCCCAAGCTTATCACTGAGGAAAATGGCATGTGGGTGGTGGAGGGCTATCTCAGAAAGTGATTCAGAGTGTCCTTCCAAAAGAACATCTGGTGGGCCCCATGGTATAATGGTCAGCGCTCTGGACTCTGAATCCAAAAGAACATCTGTCAGCTCACTGTTGTGAACTTACCCATTTGTGTGCAGGAAAACAAAAAGTTGTGGTGCATGAGTACACACAGATTCATTTTTTTGACTGCAGTTTCTTTTTGTTAAAACTACAGACGTTTGGAGAGACTAAACGTTATCAGTTATTCATAGCGTTAGGAATAACTTCATTAAATTCATTTTTAACAGAATTTAATGAGAAAGGAAAAGTAGGCTGCACATTATAAAGTAAAGGAATTAGGATCTCAAAAATTCATTCCATAATTTTTAAAGATTATCCCTATGGAAAATAAATTATGAAACAATTGTAATTACTGAATACCTTGCTTTTAAACAATAAAGTTTGTCTAAAGGTACTACAAGGAACTTTTTAAAAATTTCTACAATAACAGCTGGGCATGATGGCACATGCCTATAATTTCTACTATTCAGAAGACTAAGACTGCAGGATAGCCGGGTTTGAGCCCAACTTGGGCAACACAGCCAGACCCAAGGGGCAAAAAAAAACTTTCACAAAGCAAAACTTTATTTTTGTCAACAAGTATGTACTTGCTTTAAAACATAATTATTTAATTCACAGATATATATATTTCTGAATTAAAAGTTTTGCAAACAGTTGCCTTGCTTAAAGCTATAGATCTTGCCACAGTTTTTGGGACAAGATACAAGATCCTTTTTCTTTAATCGGTTGACCTTATATACAGTATTTGGTCACAAGGAAAAAAAGTTCTCTGCAGAGGTGAACTGTAAGCATTAAACTGAATATGAAGAATCCATCAGACTGGCAACTTTACTCGCCAAGAATAAATAAGAAGGGTATGCAACTCTGATTACAGGAAGAGGATTCTAAACCATATAATATCTATGATTGGAGATTCTTTAATAAGTTACCAAAAGCTCACTGTTCTGAACTTGTGTATATCCCTGGACTATGAGATCTTCGGCTCAAATAAAAAATGGAGGAAAAATGGAAGGAAAGGGTTTAGGCATCCTACCTTACTGGACAGTCCCACCTAGGGCAGAAAATTCACATACAATGTAGAGGAAACTAAAGAAGCAATCCAAAAATCAGAAAAATATGAGTAAAGTCTAATAGGACAGCAACCATGAGAAAATAAAACTTGGAAAAGAAAAAACCACATAAAGATACTGCGTGTGTCTCCTTAAATTTTATATTTTGATGGTATTGGGAAGTGGGGCTTAAGAAAATGAGTAGGTCATGAAGACAGAGCCCTTGTGAATGGGATTAGTGCCCTTCCAGGGAAGACCCCAGATAGGTCCCTTGCCCATTTGCCATGGGAGGACACAATAATAAAGACAATTAGCTTTGAACTACAAAGTGGCTCACTAGATAGTAAACTGGTCAGGAGCTTGGACCTGGGCTTCCCAGTCTCCCAAACTGCAATAAAAATTTTTGTTCTTGATAAGCTAGCTACTCAGCTTATAATACTCTGTTAAAGTAGCCCAAACACAGATACTTTTTAAAGTGAACCAAAATTTCAACACAGTCCATAAGTAGGAAAAGTTTATTTGTGCTTGCCTGGTACAAATTAGTAGGTTTCTCATTATTCTTTCTCAGTACGTTTCACTTCTACATTTCTTACTATTATACTGAACTACCAAGACAAGGTTGGGCGAATGTAAACATACCAATGTGATCCCCAAACTCCAGACATCAGAGCGGACATCATATCCTTGTCGAGATGCACTAGGGTCTATTCTTTCAGGCTGGAACACAAAAACAAGTCAAGGTCATTAAATATCCTTACCCTGAACAGGCAAATAAATGAAAGCACTAACTGGGTAGGCAGTCAAAATGCCAGCATCTTACCAGAGGAATCTATAGCTAAGGTTAGATTGGGAGTAACAGAAAGCCATCATTACATTAAAAACAACCAAAAATACTATTCCAAACCCAGTTGAACTCAATGGCTACTTCTATAAAGGGAACACACAGTAACCCTTCCAATTTATGCACTGAAGAATCCAAAGCATTTACAAAACTAAAGAATAGTCAGAAAAAGAGAAAGAGATAAAACAGGAAAATGGAAGAAATGAAGAATTACAAGGTCAGATTAGTAGCAAAAGTGGTAAGTGGGTATTTCTGTCTTCTGATTTTACCAGTCTTTTGTTCAGTTAAGACCATACCACAAAACATTTAAAATACAAAAGCAAAACATAAACTAAATTCATTACAATAAGTCCTTCCATTCTTCATGACAAAGTTAAACTTGTCTCTATGCATATCTTTAAAGATATTTGTCTATCAATAATTTATAGCCAAATTAAAGCACTGTAATAAAATTAATATATTATCCTGTCCTATAGACAAAAATTACCATTTTTAGTATTTTCTGTGAGGGAACATCTTTATTTCTTTGAAATCAGTCACTACCATTTACATAGTATGTCAGGGATGAAGAAAAAAAGAGAAGATATCAGTGGCACAGTGCTGACAACAGAACCTTTGCTAAGGCTGACAGTAACTGCTGTATAAGGAATGTCCAAGAAACCTAGCTATTTGACTGTATTATATTCTCTGCTTGTCAGGAACAACTTGGAGACTTAAATATTTTAATTTGAACATAAATATTCACTGAAAGCTATTTATTTTTAGTTGTAAATATATTTATGCAATAAGGTCCATTATATAAAAGTCCCAGTTGTTGAATCAATAGAGAAAACACATCAACATCACTAGCATAAACAGTTTTGCCAAACTCCCAAAAAACAATTACTAATACAGACAATGTTTTGAGGCATGGTCTTATCTTAAAAGAATGGAAATTGTACAAAGCAAGTTCCCAGAAAACAAAATAATTAAACTAGAAATCAATAATAGAAAGATACCTCAAGCATCTAAGATTAAGCAACATACTTCTAAAAAACTACTGGATCAAAGTCTCAATAAGTAGTAAAAATCTGAGAAATGCAATGAAAGTAGAGTTCAGAGGGAAATTTATAATTTTAAATGCCTACATTAGATAAGAAGACATTTCAAACCAATAATCTAACTTTATAACTTAAGGAATTAGAAAAAAAGAACAAACTAAACCCAAAAGCAAGCAAGTAGTAAGAAGGAATTAATAAAAATCAGAGTAGAAAGTAGTGAAATAGGAGTGGAAAAACTACAGAGAAAAGTCAGCAAAACTAAATGATTTGGGGGAAATTTTTTTTTTTAATTGAGTTTATTGGTACATTTAGGGATACAGTACAGTTACATTCATTGTTGGGATCATGTACCTTTACATGGCAAGTCTTGATTCTCATTTTTTTCCCCTTACCTCTGCCCTCCCTTCACCCCCTCCTCCCCTCCCCATCTACAAACACTTTATTTTCATCTTTTCATTCTCTCACATTTTTTTCTTTTCCCTTTTTGTTCTTCCCCTACGTATCACACCTTCCCTACACCTTTAGCTCCTTTCCTCCCATTTCTAAATGTCAGTAATCTTATTAGAATCTTATGCATTGTTGCAGAATATTCACACCAGGGAAACTATTTGGTATTTACACATGTGGGACTTATTTATTTCACTTAGGAGTATATCTTCAATATGTATCCATTTTCCTATGAATGAATCTATTCTCTCGCTCTTTATGGCTGAGTAATATTCCATTTTATAGAAAAACCACATCTTCTTTATCCAGTTTCCAACGGATGGGCAAATAGGTTGTTTCCAAGATTTAGCTATTACAAACTGTGCCGCTATAAACATGGGTGCACATACTTCTCTGTGATATGATTCTTTTAGTTCTCTTGGAAAGATACCCAACAGAGGGATGGCTGGGTCAAATGGAACCTCCAGTCCAAGCTCTTTGAGGTATCTCCATATTGATTTCCATAGTGGTTGCACTAGTCTGCACTCCCACCAACAATGGAGGAGGGTTCCTTTCTCCCCACAACCCCGCCAACATTTGTTATTGTGTGATTTCTTGATAGCAGCCATTCTTTGTGGGGTGAGGTGGAATCTCAGTGTTGTTTTCATCTGCATCTCTCGAATGACCAGTGATGTGGAACATTTTTTCATATATTTTCTTGCTGCTTTCACTTCTTTGTATGAGAAATGTCTGTTCATTTCGGATGCCCATTTTTGGATCGGGTCTTTATATTTGGGGGGACTGATTGTTTTGAGTTCTTTATATATCCTTGATAATAGTCCTTTGTCTGAGGTACAGCTGGTAAAAATTTTTTCCCACATTGTAGATTGTCTCTTAGTTCTGCTAATGGTTTCTTTTGAAGTACAGAAGCTTTTTAGTAAGATGAGATCCCAGTTGTTGATTCTTTCTGCTAGTTCCCGTGCTACTGAGGATTTGTTCATAAAGTCTTTTCCTATACCAATGTCTTCCAGAGTTCTGCCTAACTTACTTTCCAGCAAGTTTAATGTTTCTGTTTTAATATTTAGATCTTTAATCCATTTGGATTTTAATTTAGTGCATGGCGAAAGATAAGGGTCTAATTTTAATCTGTGACAGGTTGATATCCAGTTTTTCCAACACCATTTATTAAAGAGGCTATCTTTCCTCCACTGAGGATGGTGAGCTCCTTTGTCGAAGATGAGGTAGCTGAGTACATCTGCATTTGTTTTTGTGTCTTCCAGTCTGTTCCATTGATCCTCAGGCCTATTTCTTTGCCAGTACCATGCTGATTTTATCACAGTGGCTTTGTAGTATAGTTTCAAATTGGGAATTGTTACACCTGGTGCCATGTGACTGTTGCCTATAATGGCTTTTGCTATTCTAGGTCTCTTGTGGTTCCAAATGAATTTTTGGATTCTTTTTTCTAGTTCTGTGAAATATAGTGTTGGAATTTCAATTGGCATTGCATTGAATGTATATAGCAGTTTCGGTAGTATGGCCATTTTCACTATGTTGATTCTTCCTACCCAGGAGCAGGGGATATCTTTCCATTTTTTTATATCCTCTTCGATTTCTTTTTTCAGAGTGCTGTAGTTTTCAGTGTAGAGATCTTTTGTTTCTTTTGTTAGATTGATTCCTAGATACTTCATTTTTTTGGATGCTATTGTAAAAGGAATTTTTTCCCTTATTTCTCTTTCTGTCTGTCTGTTATTTGTGTATAGAAAGGCTATTGATTTTTGGGTATTCACCTTGTATCCAGATACTTTACTGAATCTGGGGAAAAATTTTTAAAAATTGGCACATTTTAAGCCAGACTGACCAACAAAGGAAAAAAAAATAGATTCAAGTTACTAAAATTAGAGGGAAAACTACTATTAATCTGAAAGAAATAGATGAAATGTACACACTGCTTGAAAATGAAAACCTACTAAGAATAATATAGAAATATAAATAACATTGAGATCATGTTATCTTATAGAGTTGTTATTCAAAACCTTTCCACAAAAAAAGTCCAGACCCAGATGGCTTTGCTGGTAAACTTTTTCAAACATGCACAAAAGAAATAATAGTAATCTTATATATTTTTTTCAAAAACTAGAGAAAGATGGTACACTTCCCAATACATTTCATGGAGGCCAGCTAAACCACTTATGAAAACCTGACAAAGACACCTGCAAGACTATATCCCCTCAAGACCAAGATACAGAACCATTAAAACAATATGATCAAATCTAATCAGCAACACATAAAGAAATAATGTATCTCAATCAAGGGTAGTTTTTCCTCAAGAATACAATACTAGCTTAATACACGAAAATAGTGTAATAAAAGGGAAATGGGAGGGGTAGGAGAAAGGAAAGAAGGGAATGGGATTAATATGAGAAAATGAAAAATAATGGAAACAAAGTCTTTGCAGATAGGAAGGAAGGGAGGGGTTGAAGGGAAGGAAGGGGAATGGGGAAAAAATAAGAACCAAGGTTGATTATGTAAAGGTACAAATTTCCAACAATGAATGTCATTATATTGTATACATTAAATATACCAATGAAATTTTGAAAAAAAGAAAAAGAATGTAATATACATATTTACAGAATGAAGAAAACTATATGATCATACCAATAGATGATATGTGACAAAATTAATGACAGCACATTATTAAAATAACAATTATAACTCTCAGAAAACTAACAGCAGAAACTTCTCTATTTCATAAAAGATATTGAAAATAAATTAGAGCTAACATCTTAATCATTGGTGAAACACTTCCTAAGTATTGGGAACATGGCAAAAAGGTATATACTCTCATTACTTGTGTTCAGCACTATACCGGGTTCTAGCCAGTATAAAAAAGTCAAGAAAGTTGTGCCTTTATTCACAAATGTGAATTTCTAATACTGTACTCATTAACAGAAAATTCCGCCAAAATGAATAGTGAAACTAAACTAGCAAGGTCCCAAATTTTCGATTTCAACATATGTAAACTAGCTGCAATGATTGCAAAATATTCAAAGAAATTTAATTCTATTCACAATAAATATCACAATCCAGGAATTCCTTAGGAACAACTAAATAGTGGTGCTTAAAAGCTCCACATTGAATACTATAATACATTGCTAAAATAGCAAGACCTAAATGAACAGAGAAATAAATCAGGTACTAAAAAAACTCATTATTGTCAAACTATCCACAGGTGATGAGATACACTTCTCAGCAATACAAAAAAGTGAACAACTAATACACATAACAGCATGGATATCTTCAAATATGCTGAGAAAAAAAAAGACTCAAATTCATATTGAAATACTATATTTATGTGAAAATCAAGAAAAAGCAAAACTGATAGTGACAGAAAATAGAATCAATGTTTGCCA